ACAGTAAGGTATGCTCACTGGGGAGAAGCATTGTCTGAAATTTTTGGCCCCTGAGTGGGCATGGGGATGAGAATGGGGGGCTCTGCTTTTATCTTACTGAGGCATCATGCTTCAAATGGCCCCCTTCCTAAATGCCAAGAGTATTCCTACTAGATGAGTACAACCAGAAGTAGCTTTTGCTCACAGACTAGTCAGGACAGTGCTAGGATTTCTGTGCATGGGTTCTGGAGTCGGCCAGACCTGGGTTTGAACCCCAGCCGAGCCTTTTATAAAGCTGTGTGACTTTGGGCAAATGATTAAATCTCTCTGAGCCTCTGGGTTTCCAGAGGGATCATAGTATTTACTTCAGAGAGTGCTGGGTGGAGAGCTGGTCGCTTGGGAAGACTTGATATATAGTTATTGTTATTTTTGAAGGAGCAAGAGTAGATTATCCCCCCAGGTGGAGGGTGGAGTTGGGGCTTCATATGGCACCCCCTCCCTCCTAAAGAAATTGCCTTCTGTCATCACATTTGGACAGTTATTTATTTATTGAGTACTAACTATGTGCCAGTCACTGATCTAAGGACTTCATGAGTTGTAACTCATTTAGTCCAGATGATTCAATAACCTAATGAGGCTGGTACTCTTACCTTACCCAAGGTCACACAGCTGTTATGAGGCAGAACTGCGATTCAAACCCAGGCAGCCTGACTCCTCTCTGGCACCTTTAATGGCCAGCCTGCTGCATCTTGAACTGTGGTGTTGGAGAAGACTGAGAGTCCCTTAGACTGCAAGGAGATCCAACCAGTCCATCCTAAAGGAAATCAGTCCCAAATATTCATTGGAAGGACTGATGCTGAAGTTGAAACTCCAGTACTTTGGCCACCTGATGAGAAGAACTGACTCACTTGAAAAAACCCTGATGCTGGGAATGATTGAAGGCGGGAGGAGATGGGGATGACAGAGGATGAGATGGTTGGATGGCTTCATTGACTCAGTGGACATTAGTTTGAGCAACCTCCCGGAGTTCGTGATGGAGAGGGAAGCCTGGCGTGCTGCAGTCCATGGGGTCGCAAAGAGTCGGATACGACTGAGCGACTGAACTGAACTGAACTGCTGCATCTTGGCTCACTCTAGCAGCGCTCTGACCCGCCTGGTCCCCTTATCACCTGGGCATGGGGATTCATTCAGCCCACACTGGAAAGGTCCCTGGCTCCAGAGTCAGCCTCTGTTTTCTCATCTAAACCAAAAGGGGCCTGATGAGTGGGTGATCCTTGGGCCACGAGAGTGGGTGACTCATGCGGTGCATTCCTGTTTTGAATTGGAGAAAAGGTTTCTGGTGATGAAGTACTGTCGCCAACAAGCCTCTTTTGCAAGAGGGGAGGGGTCCGGTCTCTGTGGGGTTTCACCATGTGTGGTGAAGCCCCGTGGGGCCTGGGTTGTCTAGACAGGCCGTTAGGAGGTGGCAGACACCCTGGGCTCTTTCCCCACCCCAAATTCCTGCAGACTATGGCAGGCAATCTCCGATTGGCCCGAGGCCCCTGTGTACTGCTGGGCTGGGGGAGGGCCATGTGGGCTGTGCCCACCCCCACTCCAGGGCCTGCAGGCTACCCTGCAACTTGGTGCATGTAGGACGTTTCTAAATACCCATGTGGACAGTAGCGTTAAAGTATTTCTGTTTCTTCCTTCTTAATTATACAGATTCAATAAGAACAAAGTATATAACAAGAATTTCAGGTAATTTCAAGGCTTGTCAAGGAAGGGAATGCTCACGTACTGCTGGTGGAAACTGTGACATGGATTGGCCACTTTGGAAAATCATCTGGTGCTTTCCTGTGAAGTTGACAGGCATACACGCCAGAACCCAGCAATCCCTCTCTAAATATGAACCCCAGAGAAACTCTGGCTCCTGTGCCCCAGGAGACGTGGACAAAAATGGTCATAATAACCACAACTGGAAAAAGTCTTTATCATCCTTTGCACAACCCATGGCCCTGAGCCCCAGGGCCTGTTTAGTTGGGAAATCGCTATTGAGGCAGGACCCAGGCATAACCTGGAGATGAGGACCTCAGAGGCTGTCTCCCCCAATGCTCAGGGCTCACACAGGGAATCAGACATAGCCCCGCAGGTCAGGGGTGGCACCCGGACTGGAGCTTTGTATTCCTCAGGGCTGTGTGTGTGTCAGCTGTTCCCCGGCACAAGCCGGCCTGGGAAAGGGCTGACTTTGCCCAAAGAGCAGCCCTGTGGCTCCTAGTGACCAATGGCAAGCAGACCCTTTTCTGTCTTGGCAGTGGTGGAGCTAAAGGGAGAGTGATGGCCTTGGAACTAGAAGACTCGAGTTCAAACTCTGATGTGGTCACCAGCTTAGCCTTGGTCTCCTCGAGAAGTGGGATTCCTCATCCCTGCACTCAGAGGTGTCCTGGTGGGCAGACTACAAGCATGCATTTTGCAGAGTGGGTTCAAACCCCCTCCGCCACTTCTAGCTGTGTGACCTTGGGTAAGCTCCAGTGGTTTTTTTCCCCCTATGGATTAGGATGATGGAATGATGCTGATCCTGCCCCAGGGTAATCCTGGGAGGATTAAGTGATAATGCAAGAGGGGGAGATCCCCTGTATATAATCATGAGGTACTTTGGAGGGTCCCCAGGAAGTTATGGAGTGTGGTGTCCAAGGAGCAGGGCAGGAGGTAGGAGACCCCTGGGGACAAAGGGACAGGAGCAGCAGATACACATACTGTGTCCAGGTTTAATAATTCACCAGTTGTGTGACCTTCTTCTAGCTACTTAACCTTTCTTTCTCAGTGTCCTCATCTGTGCAATGGGGATAATTGTTGTCCCTACCTTACAGGGTTGTTTGGAAGATGAAGTGAATTATTGTAATTTGTGTAAAGGCCTTCACCGTCATAATAACAGTAAAATTTTCCTATCCGCACCACCTTACTGGCAGAGGCTTGTTGTGCGTAGCTCTGCCATCAGCTCTCTGTGTGACCTAAAGCAGTACTTTCTTTTTCTGGGTTCAGGGACCTCGACTCCATACACCTGGGGTTTTCTGGAGAGGCTGGAGTGCAGCTTCCTGCCCCAGCCAGGATTCCCTGTCAGCTGATGAGTGTGCAGTGCTTCAGACACCACACTTTGGGACACATGACCCACAAAATGCCCTATCATATATGCAGAAAATGGGACTTCACCTAGCCCTTTACACATCTCAAGCTGACCCCTCTTCTGTGCCTTGTAACCTCTGGCCTCTGAACTCACCCCTCCTGCCTCTTTCCAGACCCTGTTCTTTCTTCAGCAATTCAGGGTGCTCCCTGGCCGGTCCTCACTCTCACTTCTCTCTAAACATAGGTAAGGTCATCTTGCTTCACAGGAGGACTAGGGTCCAATTGTAATGAACATGAGCCCCATTTATTCTGCTTTTAGGCTTCCCTGATAATTCAGCAGGTAAAGAATTTGCCTGCAGTGGAGGAGACATGGGAGATGCAATTTCGATCCTTGGATTGGGGAGATCCCCTAAAGGAGGAAATGGCAACCCACTCCAGTATTCTGGCCTGGAAAATCCCACGGACAGAGGAGCTTGCTCTTAGGTACATATGTCCCTCATGCCTTAGGACAGCCAAGTGAGGTCAGAACCGAGACCATAGCTGTTCTATAGAAGAGGAAGCTGAGGCTCAGAAATGGCAGGTGACTTGCCAAAGGTCATTTGTTCTGTAAGTAAAAACAAGCCAGAATTTGACCCAGGCAGTTGATTCCAGAGTTTGCTTTTGGACTGTTGTGGCCTTGGGTCTTGTGTAACCAACAGTGGGAGGTGAAAGTGCTGGGCAGGCTGACACTGGAGGACTGTGTCCATTCTTGGCCCTGGATGTGGCCAGAGCATATTCAGAAGAGCCGTGTCTTCCAGCCATGCCTCCCACGTTCTCCATCACAAGTCCTCTGCTTTCCTCTGAATCCCCTGGCTCCACCACCTCACTTCACTGAAACTCTCTGCTGTCCCCATCTCCCTCCAAGATCCTGAACCCTTAGTACACTGAATTTAGAGACCAGCGCCTTCCCCAGCAGAGGCTGCCTCGGGGCAGGCTCATCCTGAGGTCTCAGGGCTGTGGGCTGACCCCTGCCTTGGCCAAGCCTGCAGTCAGAGATGCTTCAGCTTTTTCCACCTCCTGAGGCTCAGCCTCCAAGCACATCCCTGGGCTCCGGGTGTCAGCTTGGACCCTAAGCCTGTTGTCAAATGGCAGACTCAGCTCAGGGCCTCCTGGGGAAATTTCCCAACACCAGCTGCCCTCTAGGCTCAAATGGGGCTCAAAAGCCATATCGTCAGAAGCACAGAGACTATGTTGTCTGATGGCCTCACAGTACAGATGGGAAACTGCAACCCAGAGAGGGTAGGGTGTCTGCCTGGGGCCACAGGACCAGGCAGTGAGAAGCAGAGCTGAGGTTGGGGCCTGCACCCCCATCCCCCAGCCACTGTGCCCTACCCACTGCTGCCTCTCCACCAACACCCTGGCCTTCCCGCCTCGCTGCCTGTCTGCTGGAACCTGAGCTGACATCACTTCTCCAACAGCTTTGTTTCTTGAAACCATTATTTGAAAACAATTTTACTTGCCAGGAGCCCCAGGCTCTTAGGGCTGAGAAATCAAACCTCATAGACAAGGAAGAAGCATTGTCTACAGCGAAGTCAGCAAGACAGAGCCCAGACCCGGTACGGTGGTGATGCTCAGGTGGTGGGACATCGACGCTGTCCCCTCCTTCTGCTCCCACCCCCTGCATTTAACCACAGCCACAAGGAGTCCCCAAAGCCAAGAGGATCACAGATCTGCACATCTGGTCAGGGCAAGATGGGTGCTTAGAGATCATCCAGTCCAGGCTCTGCACAGATGAGGAAACTGAGGCCCAGAGGGGGTTAGCAAGAGAGCAAGGATCAGAAGCCCACGCAGCATCCCCCAGGGTCTCCCGGGGGAGGAGGAACCACAGAGTCCCCCCCACACACACAACTAGACTCACAGACCTGTCTGCCACTGGTTCTTACCTCTCTCGGGGTCCATGCAGGTGTGGCTCCTGTGGCCTGGAGATGTGGGCCAGCCCGTTTGGGGGATGGTTGGAGGTATCACTGCTTCTCAACTAACTTCACTGGGCCTCTGGCACCCCTCACTGCCACTGCCACAGGGGTACTTTTAAACAGCTGGCACTGGGCCCCCCTCCCCTTAGCCCCTTGCCCGCTGCTCCCTGGCCGCAAAGACCCCTCTGCCTTTTACCTTATATGAGCTGAAGAGGCGAGCCCGGTGTTGGGGCGAGGCGGGTGCTGAGTCCGCTCGGGGGCCCCCATTGGCCCAGGCGCCTGCCACGTGACTGCCTCGCCTTGACCTGCCCCCGGTGCCGAATGTTGCTTTTACCCCCTAAGGAAGGAGTGGTTGACAATTTTCATATTTCTTCTAAATTTGGAGATTTCAGACAATGCTGGGAGGCTTGGCTCCAGCTGCCAGAGGCCCATGTGGAAGTCATTAAGCTGGAGAAGGGGGGCTGGGGGGAAAGCGGGAGGCAGGGAGAGGAGGAGGAGGAAGGGGGTAGGGGCCGGAGTTCTGAGGGTTGCCAGTTGTCAGCCTGGGAACATGAGCAAACTCCCTGGGAGCAAGCTATGTGTGAGAATTTCCTCCCTCTCCCCCGGCCCCTGTGTCCCAGGACTGGAGTGGGAGTGCTGAGATTTTTTTCTGGGAATCTCTGGCAGGGAAGATAGCCGTCCTGGCTCCTGGGGTCCAGAGGGTGGTGGGAATGGCAGGGGGTGGGAGACCATGAGGAAGTAAATCCTCTCTCTAGAAAGTCGGGACCCTGGGAGGCCAATCCCACCATCGTGCAAAGAAGGCTGGCGCCCCAGAAGGGTAGGGCCTGCCCCGGTCACACGGGAGCCTGTGACCGGCAGGAGAGGGAGTCTGAGGACCCGCCTCTAGGGCTGCCCTTCCCCTGGAGTCCTAGTCCAGAGCGATGCCTGTCCTTCGCCCTTCCCCATTATGCTCTGGCCATCATGGCCTCATACGGCCCTTAACATTTTTCGTGCCTCAGTGGCTTGCAGTCCTCTCTGACAGAAGTTCTCTCTTCCTAATCTTCCCATGGCTGCTCCTCTTCCGGCTTCTGGTCTCAGAAGTCACCTCCGGGAGAGGCCTTGTCTGGCCATAGTGTTGGTCTCCATCGCTGCCTCTGCTGGTGCCCTCCAGGGCTGTGCTGTTTTGTCTGTATCTGCTGAAGTAGTCGCTTGTTGTCTAGCTCTTCCCGGAGAGCACGGCTCCCCTGGGGAGGGTCTGAGTCCCCAGGCCTCCTGCAGTGCCTGCGAGGGACGGCCAGAAAGATGTCTGTGGAGCTCACAGCCACGGGCGCAGGAGCAGGATGTCTGTGGAGCTGAGGCCGGTGGAGGGCTCCTCCCAGTGGCCTTGTTGCTCAGAGCTTCCTTTCTGTGGTGAGGCTGGCTGGACCCCAGTCACCTTCACCGAGACTCTCATTCACAGTCCCCCAGACTCCTGGCCCACACAGGACTGCTGCCCCTCCCCTCCCCTTTCTTGGGGCAGGGTTACCTCCAGAATTCCCTCGGGCCGTCTTGCGGGGGGCAGCTAGGTGGCCCCAGGGATGTGGCATGCTGAACCCTACACCGTCCCTGGTCTTAAGAGGCTCCTGGTCTAGTAGGAAGGTCTTCACCCCGACTTTGTTCCTTCTGAGGAAAGAAATCTCTTCTCGGGAGCTTGTGTTTGTTCCTGCCTTTGCAGTTTCTTGGCTATGAGGTCTGGGTGCAGTTGTTCAGCTGCTGCTCCAAGCCTCTCTTTCCTCCTCCGTGAAATGGGGAACACAGGACCTGCCTTTTGGGGTGGCCACGAAGGTCAGGTGGGGTGCAGTCCTGGGGGATGGGTCAAGTCTGGGGCCAGATTGTGCTCAGCACTGCCTCTGCTGCTTCCCACAGTGGGTGGGGATGGGAACTGTGTTTAACATCTGTGACCCCCACTTTCCTCCTCTGTAAAATGGAGCTAGAAGCAGCCCCCACCTCCCAGGATTGCTGTGAAGATGAAGCCAGACTGTGCTTATGAAGGGGTCAGTCCTGTGTGGCTCAGTAAATGCCAGATATTTACCCCACACCTGACACATAGCAGGCTTGCTATGTCATCTGCTTCCTTCCTGAGCCAAGAAGATGGATGCCATTTACACGTGTACCCCTGGGGTGTAAGATTGTGGCAAGGAAGGCTTGCCACCCCCACCACCACCCTGCTCACCCTGCCCTGTTCATCTGACACTCCAAAGCACCACTAGCGGCCCCCAGGGCAAAGATAAAGCCAGCCCGATGGAGCCATCAAAATGATGGAAGGTCCACTTTGGAAGCTGTGAAACCTAAGTTATGTTTCTGTTACTTCTGCTACTGTCACATCAGGATATTACATAAGATAGAGAAGAAAACAGAAAAATAACCAGTGTAAGTCATGGAGAGACCCACCATTTTAATACTCATAAACTGTGTGCTTGGCCAAGCATGAATTGGCCACCCTTGTGAGCCAACAGTTTCCTTTATCAGGAAGTCTTTCACTAGAGGTCAGAGCAAGGATTTGAAATGACCTGGAAGCAGATCTTAGGAGAGGAGGTGTCCCGAAGCCAAAATATCTCAAGAGACTAACTAAATGTCAGCCATTTGTGACACAGTCTCCCTGGATCTGTCTCAAACATTTCTGAAACCATTTCTGTTTGCTTTCATGCCCTCTCTTGGGAGCTATTAGTGCCTTATGTCTATTAACCATTGTGTGACGTGGCTTTTCTTTCCACACTGTGGCGAGGTAGCCATGAAACCCCTCCATTCCCAGGGGAAGTAGAAGTGAGACTCTGACTTTGTGAGTAGGCCAGAGTAAGGCATCTGGGGAGGTGAGGGGAGCTTCTTGTTAGGGGCTAAGTATGAGTGTGTTTGGTGAGTTCTGTGTCCTCAGAGAGTGTGTGCTGTCAGGGTCAAGGTAATCCCTAGTGGGAGGGTGAGGGGTCTGGAGACCTGGAGACTCAGGGGAATGGAGCAAAGCTACTCCACCTCTACTGGTGATCAAGGAAGAGGTTGAACTGGTACAGCTGAACCTGAAGGAAGATGTGGTTTAGACCTACACAGGAAAGACTTTTTTTGGCGGGGGCGTGTGGGATCTTAGTTTGCAACTAGGGATCGAATCTGCACCCCCAGTGCAGAGAGCCTTAACCACTGGATTGCCAGGGAAGTCCCAGGAAGGACTTTTTGAGTCAGTGGATTTACTCAAGGAAGAGATGGACTAGTGGGCTATCTTGATAAATTGATAGATCAGAGAACTCATCACTTTACCAGGACAGCTAACAGACTGAATGACAGTTTGACAAGTCCCTTCCAGCCCTTAGATCCTGTGAGCTTTATCTCACACTTAATGTTCTCACCCCAACCTGTCCCTGACCCCTGATTCAGCCCACAGGCAGAGCTCAGAGGTGATCATTTGGGAGACATGTTTTGGAACATTGAAAATCAAGCTCCTCAAGCTCTGTATGTTTCTGCGATGAGCATATAAAACATTGTTTCTTTGACTGAGTTTGATTCTGAGAGGTAATAAACAATGAGTGAAGAACTGCTTATAATTGTCATCAAACCAGCTTTTAAAAAGTACATGTATTTTAAAATGTTTATTTATTTCACTTACTTATTTGACTGTGCCTAGTCTCTGCTGTGGCCCGTGGGATTTTCACTGTGGCGTGTGTAATCTTCAGTTATGGCATGCAAACTCTTAGTTGTGGTATGTGGGATCCAGTTCCTGACTGGGGATTGTACCTGCATTAGGAACATGGAGTCTTAGCCACTGGACCACCAGGGAAGTCCCTCAAAAATATTTTATAAATAGCTGTCCACAACATATTACTGAGGTTAAAGATCATGGTATAGAAGAAGATGTATGGAATAATACCATTTAAGTAAAATGATGTGATTGCCAAACTGCAATGAGATACCACTTCACACTCTTCAGGATGGATGGCTATGATAATAGTAATAATTATCACCACCACCAAAACCCATAGATACTTAGACACTTGTTCACTGGTCTCTGCAGCAGCATTATTCACAATAGCCAAAATGTGAACACAGCTGAAGTGTCCATAAATGGATGAGTGAATAAACAAAATGTGGTTCATGCATGCAATGTAATGTTATTAAGCCATAGAAAGGAGCAAAATTATGGTATGTGCAACAGCATGGGTGACCTTTGACAACATTATGCTAAGTGAAATAAATCAGATACAAAAAGGATGAATACTGTATGATTCCACTTATGTGAGGTATCTAGGAGACAAAGTCATAGAGACAGAAAGAATGGTAGTTGCCAGGCCGGGGAGGGGTGGGGAAGAACACGGGGAGTTAATGTTTAATGGCTGGAGAGTTCCTATTTGGGATGATGAAAAAGCTCTGGAAATGGATAGTGGTGATAATTGCACAACACCGTGAATGTTCTTAATGCGGTTTAATTGTACACTTAAAAAAGTTACAATGTTCAGTTTTATGTTGTGCATATTTTTACCATAACAAAATAAATGATGTGTCTGTGTGGAGGAGTAAGTGTGGATGTAGCAAGATGCCCTGCTGGAGGTTAGGTTTGTGTTTCGTCTTGCCTTAGTCCACCACATGGACAGACCAGGACAGAAGGTCACTATGAACTGCCTGAAGGGAGTATTTCTGAGAAAGGCAGGGAGAGAGGGATGTAACAAATCTTTTGTGCTGATCACCGGGGAGGGAGCAGTTGTAGGGGAGGGGCAATGGTGTGGTACAGTCCTTTGAAATTTCTGTGACTCTCTGGCATATGAATGCTGTTGGAAAATGGGACAGATTTGCCCTGTTGAAGGGCCCTAGGCAGTTGGCTTGGAGCCCTTCCCGGTTTAGGGAGAATATTAGCTTTCAACTCTGTAGGCCCTTTGGGGACTGTGAACTTGACCCACAGTTCTGGATGTAATTCACCAAGAGCAGCTTCTGCTTGGACATTCATATCCTTCTATCATGGTCGATACATTGATACAGCACCAGGTGGGGCTCGTCACTGCCTATACCCCCCAGACACCTGTAAGGGTTAGGGGACCCCCGGGTGTGTAACAGAAGGGAAGTAAGAGCCTCTGGGAGAACGGCCGCATTGTACTTTGCTTCATGCTCATCCTGGAAAGTCTGAGGAGCAGTTGGGCCACAGTAATCACAACCTGAGAGTCCCTTGGACTCCTAGGAGATCCAACCAGTCCATCCTAAAGGAGATCAGTCCTGGATGTTCATTGGAAGGACTGATGCTGAAGCTGAAACTCCAATACTTTGGCCACCTCATGCGAAGAGTTGACTCATTGGAAAAGGCCTTGATGCTGGGAGGGATTGGGGGCAGGAGGAGAAGGGGACGACAGAAGATGAGATGGCTGGATGGCATCACTGACTTGATGGACGTGAGTTTGAGTAAACTCCGGGAGTTGGTGATGGACAGGGAGGCCTGGCATGCTGCGATTCATGGGGTCGCAAAGAGTCGGACACTACTGAGCGACTGAACTGAACTGAACTGAATCACAACCTGAATGGTGCAAAGAAACTGCCTGTGACACATGTGAGTGTGTGTATGGTTGCACAAGTGTTTGAAAATACACTGTTAGATGTTTGCAAGAATATGGGGATTTGGGGGATTTTGTCTTACTTCATTGTAGTTTTCTGTTTTTGATTTTTTTTCCTGATTTGCACTGAGGTGATGAACTTAACTAAAAGGGTTTAGTTATATTCTATATTCTATTATATATACAATTATTATAATATAAGGACTTATATTTTTATTTCTATCTAATTTCTTTTTGTGTATTAAGAATATAGAATATATTAGTATAGTAGTACTTTACAAAATTTGTAAAGATTTATTTTTAAAAATAACTTACTTAAAATAAAATATATTTATTTAAATAACCATGGAGGTCAAACCAACTCCTAGTCCAAAGTTCCCCAATGAGAAGGGCACTAATCATGACTGCTAATGAAGGGGGTCAGTTTTTTATAGAAGCCGAGAGCAGTGTGATCATTGTGTCACCTGCTTGCCACAGAGCACAGGTTCACTGCCCTGTATGAAAGGGTTATGGTAACAGAGGGGAGTTATTGGAGATAATTTCCAGATGGGAGCAACCTGGTTGGTGGGATTAGGCGAAATTACTTTAATAGTCCCCTCCAGGCCTCGGCTTAAGTTGACTTTGCTCATCCATCCCTCCCCTTTGCCACAGAGGCCCCCTCCCTGCTCCCTACCCTCGCCCCTCCTGCGTCTCCACATCTGACACTCCTCAGCAGCCCTCAGGACTGCAGGCTGACTCCAAGCCTTTGTAAACCACCCGGGATTATTAAACAAATCCTATAATTAGAAGCCAGGTTTCCTAAACGAAGTGAAAAATGTAACGTTACCCTTTGTTTGTTCACTGGATGCTCAACGCATGTCCCATGACCCAGAGGAGCTGTGACTTTGGGTTTCCAAGAAGCCTTAATAAGGTAATGTTTATAAAGTTCTTAACTTTACAACTCCATCAGAGTACAACTCTGTGAAATGAGGTCAAGCTATAATTCCGAGATATCTGCCCCACTCCTTGCCCAGTGGTAGAGAATGTTGTTCCCTCATGTGATGTGTGGAAAGCCCTAAGATTGGGATTGAAGGACATGCGTTCTGGTCTCAGCTATGACACTGAACTGCTGTGTGACAATGTATCATCCCCCTTCCTCTCTGGACTTGTGTTTACCCTGCTGTGAAAGAGAGGTCAAGATGGGACTTTTTGTTCTAAAAGTCTCTTGTCACTCTGACATTCTGCAGTTTGATTGCTGTGTTTCTCTACCATAGGGTTGTAGCTCAAGCAAGAATTCTCCAGATTTTACTTCTCTTCTCTGGATTCCTCAAAAGGACTTGGTAATGTACCTTAAACTGGATAAACTGGTTGGGGTTGGCAAGACACATGGATATATCCTTTTGTGCCTCAGCTTTGAACCCTTAAAGGTCTCTCTCATGAGATAAAGTACATTAAAAATAATGTGAAAATGACTTACATCATAAAAGAACTCTTCAAAGGAATTCAAACTGGTCAACATGGGGAACAGTGGAAAGAACCACTGTTCTGTCTGGAGCTGGTAGGCATTATTCAGTTAACATAATTCCATGGTAAAATTATATATAACTGACATTTATTGAGTTCTTTCTATGAGCCAGACTCTGGGCCAAGGGTTTACATCCATCCTCTCAGTTAATCTCATATCAAATCTGCGAGATAGGTACTTTCTCATGATCCTCACTTTATAGATAAGAGACAGAACCTTAAAGAGATGAACTAATTTGCTTGAAGAAAATAAGTGGTTGGAGCCAAGACTCTAGAACCTGTCATTGACCTTTGTAAATCCACTGCCTGTATACTTCTGATCCAATTATGGTGCTTGTAGAGGCAAGTATCATGATGAAACTTCCACCACACTATGTTGCTGAGAGATTCTGATGAGCAGAACCCACTCAGGCAGCCTACATAGGACTTGTAGATGAGAAAGGCACCTTTCCTGGGCCAAGCCTGGGTTTACTTGTCACTGCAGCACAACTTGGCCCATCCTGACTGATACTGCTTGTCACAGGAAGAGGGAACAGCTTTATTCTTTGCATTCTCAAGAGCAAATTTGTCATCAGATGAAGAACAGGGGAGGCAGACATTTTTAAAAGTAGAGACTAATAAGAAACTGGGAACATCTGATAGGAGTATCCCTGAGTCGCCAGCAAAATGACGCATAAGGTCCCCTTGAGCCTGTGATTCTAAGAAATGGTCTGAAAAACAAGATTCGTAAGTGATTCTGGAATGACAGGGTCAGAGCTGACTCTGTGGTTGAGATAATAAGATAGAATGCAAAGGAATCCCAATATGGAAGACAAAAAATTACGGACATAGTTATGTGATTCCTTGACTGAAGAGCCAAAACCAGTTTTTTCCAAGAGCACACAGTGTGGGGGTGGGGGGTAGGATGGATGGAGATCACGGTTAGCCTGACCTTTGAACTCTCTCCAGCACTGACTCAGAAAACATATCCCTTGGGCACCGAGCCCTCCCTTCAGACGCATTTCCCTCGAATGTAGGTTTGCCCGCAGAGCATAGCCAGGCTGTGTCAGAAATGATCTGGATGGCTTCTGGTGCCCTGTGTGCACCGCCTAACGACAGGGTGCCCACTTCTAACCACAGCCTACATACAATTGCTCATTCCCTAACTGGGACAAAGGTTAGGGTTGGGTGGGGGTCAAAAGTGGCTTTGGGAGCCCACCTTTCATCTCAAGCTCTGCCACCCTTTTACCTACTATATGAACATGGACAGGTTATTTCCCTTCCCTGGGCCTCAGTTCCAACTCCTGTGAAAAATTTTTTTTTCTTTTTATTCTTTTAATATATGACCTCCTGTTAAATGTAGCAGAGATCTTAGGGAAAAATCTGAATTCTCACTGTTCTGCCTACTTATGAGAGCTCCTGTGAAAATCTTACATTTACATAGGATTGATGCCAGGAATAAATAAAGTCACAGATATAAATGTGCTTTGTAAACTGTAGAGTGTGACCAATGTAAGAGGGGTATCACTAGCACAACTACTTGCAGCATCTGCCTGGGTCCTAGGGCTGGACCACCTCCGTCTCCCAGGGTCAGAAACCTTGAAGCTGTCTTCTAACAGCAGAAGAATGGATTGGGGCTTCTTTCCTGGGAACCAGACTTTGGAAATAGATTCCACGCTAGGCACTTCTTCCTCTTTCCCCACAAATACAGTATTTATGAGAACTGACCTTCCAATGGAAATTTGGCAAGATTTCACATTCTGGAGACATTGTACCTTCCTCCACATGCCCTGAGGGCTGAGGTCATGGGCTTCCCAGGAGATGTAGGCGTTCCCACGGATACAAGAGGTACAGGGGACTGAGAAGAGAGGGGCCCAGCAAGACCCTAAGTCACAGGCTTGTCCTAAAATGTTGATACCATCCTCTAAAAGAATATGAGCTCAGGAACTGTTTTAACTGTTCGCTGCTGTACACCCAGTGCCTAGAACAATGCCTGGTGCATAGTTGGTGCTCAGTATATATTCATTAAATGAAGGGAATAAACCCTTCTCAAGACTTCTTAAGGCGCTTCCTTGCTCCTACCTCAAAGGTCACAGCTCCTAGAAACTTACAGAGCCTCCTAGACAAGGTATGTAAACCACCACTTGGTACGTCTTCTCAATGTTGTCTCCCAAGAGGTTCAGGCCACTGGGACAAGCTTCTGTTGGGAGGCCTGGGTTGAGTTCACCGCAGCTCTAAGAGCCTGCAAGTTTTGGAGGCTGTTTTCTGGTCAGAGGAAGCAGGGTGGGGATGGAAGCCTTGGCTGTGGCCATCAGGGCTCCTTGCTGAAGAGTGAAGGTGATAGATCTTGGAGTCCCTGGCTGTCCCCCAAGTGGCGCATAGTGAGTAGCCTTAGGGTTTCTCTCTTTTCTCAGCAGATCCTGCCCTGGTCACAGCGGGGCCCAGACTCTGGAGCCAGGTGTTTGAGAAGCACATATGAATAAGTTGTGTCCAAGGCCTGCAAGAAGCTTCCGCCTGATGACTCTTCAAATCAATATTGAAACAAAACCCACACAGGCAAGACCCCATCCACAAATTTGCAGTCCTGCAGGTATACTCCAAAACCTGGGCAAAAAAAAAAACAAACCAGAACTATCTGAGCCAGTAGCTGAAGCCAATATGTAAGTCAGACTTTGGTGAGTACCATCCACTATTAGCTGTGTTGGGGGGAGCAGGTCTTTGAACCCAAGCTGCAAGGGAAGTGTCCCCCCTCCCCCTTCCCTTCCCTGCCAGGACTCCTCTCCCATAAGCAGCTGTGAGATACCACCACCTTCTCTGCTCAACCCCCACAGTACAAGCTCCCTCCTCCTCTGGTGTCCAGGCTCTGGGGGTCTGAAGAGAACATTTCTCACCCTTTTCCTGCTTCCCCTGGAGGATGGGGCTTCCCACCCAAAATAGGTGCAGACCCACCCAGCAAGAGGAGGGGCTGACAGTTTGCGGGGAGGAAATCAGAACTCTGGATTTTGTAAGTCCAGACGTCCTGTAAACTCTGACCAGAGTATAAACATCCCCTGGGACTGAGGGGAGGATATGCTGGTGGGCAGGGGGCCCGGCGCCTCCATCTGCCCTGAGGACAGGCTGTTTATCCCACATCCCTCACAGGCCCCCTTGGGCTCCTTCCTGTCTAGGTCTGGGCAAGTAGAGGCAGGCAGGATGGCCCCGCAGGGGGGCCTGAGGCCTCAGACGTCAGATTCAACCTCTCCCGCTAGAAGGGAACTTAAAAAGCTCAGAGAGCCCAACTCTCTCTTTTTCTTCAATTTCCCTCACAACTGGTCTTCTGGCCTCCACTAAAACACCTCGGCTAATGGGGAGCTCACTCTTTCCCAGGGCAGTCCGTGCTATTACTGGCACTCTGGCAGCTGAAAAGTTCTAGAAGAAAGTGATTCTAGAATTGTTTGGTGTGACCTGATTGAGCACAGCTAAGAATAATGTGTAGCATGGCCATTCATTGAACCCACACTGTGCCAGGTGCTTTGTGTACATTTTCCCATTAAATTTCCCCTCCTCTCAAGGAGGACACAGGCTCAGAAGAGTTAGGTTACTTGCCTGAGGTGACTCAGCTGTTTTGTGGTGGGGCTGTGATGCAGTTGCTATATTTCAAAGTGTATGCTTTAAATATTAATCTATACTGGTTCTTCACGATCAAAAAGCAAAAATAGCACACATACCACAAAAACACCATACAACAAACACAGTCACACACAAATGAACCACATTACTATAAAAGCAACCCAAACTAGCCAAATCTTAAGTATCCTTTGTATGCTGGGCAAATCATAATTTTTATGATGAAGCCATTTTAACAACCCTATGAGGCAACTGAGACTCATTGAAGTTAGAAAAAAATGGATGTGGCACAGCAAGTTTCAAGCACCACTTCTGAAGTCTGAAATTGCCACTATACCTTATTGCGTGATAGGAGGGGACTGAAGTATAATGAAAGACGAAACCTTTATCACTGTTATTTTCAACAACAAAAGCTCTGAAAAGTGGGATGTGCAACCTCAGAGACAAATGATCGCCCTACACTGGAGGTGTCCAGCAAAGATGCTTTAAAAGGAGTTCTTACACTAGTAAGGGCTAACACAAGATATTCCCCAGTGTCAATCTGCAATCCAGAAACACAAACTTGACATTTTCAAGGCTGGATCCTGGGTGGAAGGGTGGCCGCGGTCACCCAGTCCCAGAGCACAAGCCCACTCGGAGTCCTACCCTCTTCCACTCACGTTTCCTTGACTGCCCCTGAAAACAGAGGCATTGGCTCCTGGCCTGGGCAGAGGGTCATGTGGACGTGGTGGGCCTTCTGCATATCCCAGTGGCCGCCCATTCACCCAGGCCTTGCCCTTTTTTGAGAACTGGGAGCTTTCTGGCTGGGTCTGTTCCCACCAACAGCGTTCCCGTCCAGGGAGCTTAAAATAGTGCCTCTTGGCTGGGGCCCTGAAGCGAGCAGTGAGGGAGGCATTTGTGCAAATATGGGCCTGGGAGAAGAACTCCTACCCTGAGAGGGTGGGGGATGGGGTGGGCAGCTCAGCAGGAGAGCCAAGACCTCCAGTGGAGGATGCGCCCTCTTGGCCACAGCCCCCTCCATCTTGCTGCAGAGGCGCCTGCTAGTCTCCTCCTGCCTTCTCTGACCTTACTGGGTCCACTTGGGCAAATCTCTACACTGAATCCCCACAGGCCTTCCTGGCTCAGCCGAGGCTCCAGGGTGGGCCCATGGGGAACAGGGACCTCTACATTCTTCTGCTGGTTCTATCCTTGTCCCCCTATCATAGTGCCCTTCCTACCCAGGAACATCCTAGGTAGCAACCTTTTTTAGAAGAATGATTATGCATTTAGCTGCGCCAGGTCTTAGTTGTAGCATGTGGGATCTTTAGTTGCAGCATGCAAACTCTTAGTTGCAGCATGTGGGATCTAGTTCCCTGGCTAGGAATCAAACCTGGGCCCCCTGCTTTGGGAAGGCGAAGTCTTAGCCACTGGACCACCAGGGAGGTCTTCAGAAGCATGCTTTGGAAGGCCCAAGTCAAAACTTGTTTTAACAATCATAATGACAGTTGCAGCCGCTGCTGATTGAGGGCTTACTTTTGTTAGGTGCTCTGCTGAGGGCTATAACATGCATTATCTCGTTTGGTCCCCACCATCATCCACTGAGAGCCAAGTTACTATTATCTCTACTGTGCATAAGAAACTAAGTTCAGAGATGTCAAGTAACTTTCCTGAGGTCGCACAGCTCTGAAGTGACAGAGGCAGAATTAAAACTCAGGTCTGTCAACCACTGGAGTCCGAACTCTGACCTCCTGGGCTGCATCTCCTCCTCTGGCCTCCCATGCTCCACCCCAGCATTACCACCCTGTGTCACATATACATGGCTGTTTGGATTGAATGCATCAGGTATTTAGTGAATGCCTACTATGAGCCAGGAATATTGCTGGGTGCCAGACCCACAGCTTGGGAACTCCTAGATCCCTATGAGGACTCTGTTTGGGCTTGAGTTCAGTGACTGCCCCAACATGCAGGATCTGGTTTGACGATGTCAAGGTGTGGCTGAGGCAAGCATAGACCCTCCTCAGTCACCAGCTGACCAGTTGGACATCCTTGCCTCCTTTCTGGCTGTGATGCCCCCCTCCTTCCTGCACAGCAGGAAACAGCATGCACAGGAATCAAATTTGCTTTGAATCCTCTGTGACTTTGGGCTCTCTGAGCCTCAGTTTCCCCATATGTAGATTCGGAATACAATTAAGACCTCACCACAGGGTGGTTGGAAGGATTTAATAAAGCAGTGCACGTGGGACTCCCCTGGCGATCCAATGGTTAAGACTCCATGCTTCCAATGCAGAAGGCACAGGTTCAATTCCTGGTTGGCAGACTGAGATCCCATATGTTGAGCAGTGTGGCCAAAAGATTAAAAAACAAACAACCACAAAAAACAATGCTCATGAAAGACTTATCACTGTACTAGGTGGTCTAAGTGGAGGAAGAAATGGCAACCTACTCCAGTATTTTTGCCTGGGAAATCCCATGGACAGAGGAGCCTGATGAGCTACGTCCATGGGGTTGCAAGAGTTGGACACGACTGAGCGGATCAGCATGCATGCATGCAGGTAGTCTAAGGAAATAGAATTAAGCAGCAACTGTTATTACTTATTGTTTTCCTGAAGACTGCATTGTCCTGGTGCCGGAGGCCTAGGGCCTAACACATGGTAGGTGCTCCAAGTAAAGGCAGTCACTCACTCAGCAGACAGAAGCCACCACCCGGCCCCTGCCCCCTCACTCCTGGCTGGTTGCGTGTCATGCAGTTCCTGCTCTGATGTGGAAGGTGTCCCAGGCACTGGTCCTCATCAACGCTAGGGTTGCTTGGGTGGCCATGGGCAGGCACAAGACTTTTACTTACCTGGTTCCCTTGTTTTCATCCAGGGAAAAGGAATGGCTGGCGTGAAAGTTCTGCCAGGGTTTGCCTGCTCCTCGGGGACATCTGGCTTTCTGGTGGTGCCACCTGGCGGTGAGTACAGAACTGCTTCTAGCTGGGCGGCCTCCGAGGGACCTGGTGGCTCCGAGGGACCTGGTGGCTCTGAGCACGACCATTTCCTGCCCCTTGCTCTCCAGCCCATGTAGCCCTTCCCTGATCCCCTGTATTGGTCACTGACTGTGAGGAAAGACGTAAGGGGTCTCTGTGGGGTCTCTGTTATCATGCCTCCTTCAGGTCTGGCTCTGACCTGCGGGGTAAGGTCCCTCAGTGGTCAGCCAGGGCTCATCCTCAGGATATCCTTCAGGTCTGATGACCTCTCAGTGGTTTCTAGAAACCAAGGTTGGAAGAATGGGCCTGCTTCCTGGCTTGAGCTGGCCCAGGAATGGGAAACCCAATGATGGTGACTGGGCCCATACTTGACTCCTCACTGTACCTGCTTAAGTATCCACAGATCCCTCTCCCCTCTCTGGGGCCACCAGAGGGACTGGCCTGGCTTCTAGGTTCTCTGTCTTTTAAAAAAAAATTGAATTTATTTATTTGCCTGCGTTGGGTCTTAGTTGTGGCACGTGGGATCTTTAGTTGTAGCATGCAAACTCTTAGTTGCAGCATGTGGGATCTAGTTCCCTGACCAGGGGTTGAATCCAGGCGCCCTGCTTAAGAATTAGGAGAATAAATTGTGCTTGAACCAGCCTTACTCAGCTTTGTACCAACATGCTGTGTGAGCTTGGGTAAGGCCTGTCCCTCCCTGGGCCTTGGTCTCCCTGTGGTAGAATGGTGATGGGGCAGGTGATGGGTGAGGAACCCTGTAGTTCCCTGACTGGATCCTTGATAAGGTGCAGATTCCTGGGGCTGCCTCATTAGAACTCTGGGGCCAGGACCCTGGAACCTGTGTGAAGTTGGAAGCTGAGGCAGCCAAACCCTGTCTTTGGGAGATGGAAGCCTGCAGTGTGTGTTGCTGGCAGGGAAGAAGAGTGTGGTGGTTTCAGGGGTCCTGAGAAGCTGAGGAACCCCCTTGTAGCCCAATTCCCACCTTTTAATTTCTCCCTTTGTGTGGATGCAGGGAAGGGCCCCCCAGCTGCATGTCTGTGGGACCCCACCAGCAGCAGCAGCAGGAGGTCAGCAAGAAGGCTGCACAGGTTACAACCAGCTTGCCCCTATCCTTTGCCTCCTCATGCTGGCTGTTTCACACGTCCAAAGGACCGTGGTGTTGGGGCTGGGGCAGCCTGGGGTGGGACTGGGGGCCTTTGTTGCTTGAGGAGGTATTTTCAGAGTCCCCCTCCCTCTGGAGTTTCCAACGATAGAATAGAGCCCTGTCTAGTATTTGACCAAATATGGTGGTATCTCTCATGAGCTCGAGCCTCAGCCAGCTTCTCAGTTATGCTGTGGAAACCTGCCCCGGACAGATTAATCTTGTGACATTCAGGAGCGCCTTGCACCCTGCGTTCTTCCCCTCGGCGATTCCTGTAAATGGCCAAGAGTGGCCCCGAACAGGACGGTGCAGTCCTGGAGCCTGTCCTCTGTCCTCTTCACACCCCCTTTCACCTTCTCCTCAGGGGAGCTTGCTTGCTCACATTCAGCTGGGTTGTTCACTTGAGGGGAGAGACCCAGACCAGGTCCATCCAGCTCATAATTCCTAGACAAGAGGACCCTGGGGTTACCTAAGCTCATGAAATTTTGGCCAGAGCCCGCGAGGACCAAAGCTCTCAGCCAGGAGGGTGGACCCAAAGAGGTAGAAAGGAGAGTTGTCTGGGTCATGAGAACTGTGCTCGCTCTAATGCTAAATAGAACAGCTAACGTTCCCAAGAACAATTACACTATTACTGTACAGTGATAGTCTTCATAATAAACAGCTAGATTTATTGAGCACATACTACATGCCAGGCACTGTATCAGCTGTTTAATGTGGCTTATTTCCCTTACTCCTAGTAACAACCCCTAGAAGTTGTTCTAGACACTGGGGAAATGAGACTCAGAAAGATTTCCAGGAGAAATTTCCAGGCCACCACTGATTCCGGGGCACGGCTCCCATTTCACAGAGAAGGAAACTGAGGCTGAGAGAGGATGGAAGTCACAAGCAGCCACTCAGGGACGGGCCCTTGGAGTGGAGACCTTTTCTACGTGACGGGGAGCACTGCATCCAGAAGGCCGGCACAACTGGCCATCAAGTCCTCATGGACCTCACGAACTTGGCCCTCGTGAGAGCACACAGATTCAGAAGCATGTTCGTAGCAGGCTGGAACTGTGCAGAAGATATGCCAAGAAAAGCAGCATGGAGGGTGGATAAAGCCCTGCCCGGAGACCAGGTATGAACCCCGGCTCTGGCATCCCTCACTCACTGTATAATCCTGGACAAGTCCCTTCTTCACTCTGGCCTCAGTTTCCCTGCCTGGGAACTACGGGGTTGCCGAGGGCCTCTGAGCTCACCTGGGGCTGGCTGAGGCTGGAGTGCCTGAGGCTGTTTCCCTGGGATATGGGGCCTGTGTCTTGCTCCTGGCCAGCGTGCTCCAAGAACATTTACTGTCCTGACCAACGGACAGCCTGTCCCTCCTCCACCCTCGCCCCCTTGCCATCCCCCAAACTAACGAAGCTGATTGTCTTAGGTGGCCCTGTGGGTGCTGGCTGGGCGGCCAGCCGCAGGCCACAGGCGGAGGTGCCACCCGCCAGAGCCCCACCAGACACACAGGGCATTGTCCCTCAGTCAACAGCCCCTGGGCACCTCAGCCCGGCTCCTGGCCTGCCCCCACGCCCCTCACCGCCTGCCACTGCGCCAGGCCCGCCAGCTGGGAGCCCAAGGTTCCCAGGCGATGACGAGCCCACCCACCCACTCCCCCGGCAGCCCCCTGACGAGCTATAATTGCTGCGCTGAGTCCTGTTGCTGCCATTCTCGTGGCGGAGGCATCTGGGGTTCCAGGCGGGCAGCAGCTGCAGGCTGATTGCCTGGCTCGCGGGATGGACTGGCCGTACAACCTGGTACGTGGCGATTCCCCACCCCACCCCCACTCCTTTTTAGGGCCTGAGTGTTTCTTTACTTCTTCTCCATTGATTAATGGCCACCTCTGTTTGGCTTGGAATCTGCAGAAGCAAGTTCTCCCTCTGTCCTGTCCCCCAGGACGAGAGAGAAACAGAGACTGGTCTCAGAGCCTGCAGCTATGGCCAGCGGCTCCGGCTCCTGAGCTGGGCGCAGCCCCACTGCACCAAGGCCCTTTCAGGCCAAAGGCAACTGAGGAGATCTTGGCAATCTCAGTTATCGGGGTTTTTCCAGAGTCTCTGTGTCCTGAGATCCAGGCTGTGTGACCTTGGGCAGGTCCTTCTGTTTCTCTGTTTCCCATCTCTAAAGGGATGAAGGAGATGGGTTCTCTTCTGAATTTCTCTGAGTGGAAAGCCAGGTTTAAGAATGCCATGTGAGAAGCTCAGATGAGAAAGCCTATTGTTAGGGAGATGTCTTTCTGTACCAGCGACTTGAATCTGTCATGGGTTTGGTGCCAAGAAACGGTCTACCAAGAGGGGTTCTGCTGAAACTTGTTTGCAAGGGTCAAGACTAGCTGGGTAGGCAGGAGAGATCAGCACGGGCCATGCGGGTGGTGGGGTGAGGGGTCCAGGGCAGGTAGGAGCCTGGCTAGGCTCAGGGAGGAGATGAAGTCCCCTCTGGAGGTTTCTCCCTTCTGACCAGCCTTGGCTCCCACCCAAGTCCTGGCCCTCCTCTCCCGGCTTCCTGTGGAGTCTGCATTCTGCTGGGCACCCAGGTCCTCTCCCATGTGACTGAGAGGCTTTCCTGATGCTGCTTGTTGTGCAGGGAGAGGTGGGCAGAGCGGGTGGGGGTGGACAAGGGGTCGGGAAGGCAGATGGTTGGGGCGTGGGTCTTGGAGTTCATCAGGGGTCTCTGGCCATGACCTGCACGCATCACCAACTTTATCTCCTGTGCTCACCTCCTGTCCACTCTATTTCAGCCCCACCATTTCCTTTCAGCAAAGTTTTAAGCCACTGAAACTTCTTCTCACACAGTTCCCTCCCCCACCTCCATACCATTTTTAGGCTTCCTCTGCCTACGTCTGCCTCTGTCTTATTCTTCAAACCTCACCAGAAATGCCCCCTTCCCCAGAAAGGCTTTGCAAGACCACCCCACTGCCACCAGGCTAAGCGGGTGGCCCTGTTCATCTCTGACCACACGCTGTGTGGTCCCATCCTCACCCTGCTGCTAGCGAGACTTAGGTGCTTGTTTCTTGTTCACCATCTGTTTTCCTTGCCAGACTGCAAGCTACAGACAGGCAGAGGTGGTGACAGGCATTCATTCACTCAGCAAATGTTCACTGAATACCTAAGTGCCCAGTACCGTGCGGACATGGGGGACAAGGCAGTGTGTGGAAACAGAGTGCTGGCTCTCACGGAGCTGGTGCTTAGTGGGGTCTGACTTGGCAAAGGATCACACGTACACTGGAGGACGGCAGTCATGAAGGAGGCGTGGGGTGCTGAGAGCCCAAGAAGGTCCACAGAGGCCTCCCTAAGGAAGTGATACTGAAGCTGAGACACGCGGGGTGACTGCAGGAAGCAGCCTGTGCAAAGTCCTTGTGCAAGGAGAGGAAGGTTCGAGAGAAGGCCTGAGGCTGAAGCATGGGTGCAAGAGGAAGCCAGGTGTGATTTGAGGAGGGAGAACACAGCAGAGGTCTGGCCTGGGGAGGGGATGTTAATAGGTTGGCATTACAACCTATCGTTGGGCAGGTGTGGAGAACTGATCGGAAGGAGCCAGGGGGAGATGGGGAGATGTGGAGTACCAGATAAAAGGCTGCTGAGCTGTCCAGGAAACTGACAGGTTGGTGCAGGTAGAGAAGTGGATGGGTGGGGAGGTTTTTAAGAGGTGCAACAGGATTTAGTGATGAATGCGGCATGCACATGTATCAATACAGGTGTGACGGGCTGGTGGGACCAGGCCAGGGCTTGACAGGTGGCTCCGCTAGAGGTCTTTCTTCTCTCCTTCTTCCTTGTGCCTGAGTCTTGGCCTAGACAGTGACCTGTCTCTCCCACCTTTGACCTTTGGCCTTCTTCCCCAGCTGTTCCTTCTCACCATTTCCATCTTCTTGGGGCTGGGCCAGCCCAGGAACCCCAAAGGCAAGAGAAAGGGGCCAGGGCGGCCTGGGACCCTGGCCCCTGGGCCTCACCAGTTGCCACTGGACCTGGTGTCCCGGGCAAAGCCCTATGCCCGCATGGAGGAATATGAGAGGAACCTGGCGGAGATGGTGGCCCAGCTGAGGAACAGCTCTGAGCCGGCCAGGAGGAAGTGCGAGGTCAACCTGCAGCTGTGGCTGTCCAACAAGAGGAGCCTGTCACCCTGGGGCTACAGGTAGGCCAGGCCAGGCAGCCATGGGAAAGTTTCGTGTTGGGGGCTGAAGGGGATGCCCTGCCCACTCTCCGTGTCAAGAGTGAAGACCTTGGATTCAGAGGCTTAGGTCTGCATCCTGGCTCTGCCTTTTACTGGCTATGTGGCTTTGGGCAAGTTGATTAGCCTCTCTGAGCCTCAGATCCCTCAACTATAAGTGGAAGTGATAGTAGTATCTATTTCACTGACTTGTTATGAAATGAGATATCTATGCCGGGCACTGATGTTGTATTCTCCAAGTCTCCAGTGAAGGGCCTGAAAGGCCTTCCCCTAATGCTATGTCCTCCAGCTCGGAGTGCCTTGTACACACCTCTGGTTACAGCACTTTCAGGCAATGCTGAGTTGGCTGTGTGCACATCTATCTCTCACGCTAGATGGGACCATCCCAGTGCCTGTATCAGAATCATCTAAGGATTCTCACGCCCCATCCAATCAAAATCTCCAGGGATGAGGCCCAGCAAGTAGCATTTTCTACATCTCCACATGGTTAGAATACACTGCTGGGCTTGGGAATCAAGACCCTCTGCCCCTAGGGGACAGCAGTGGTGTCTTACCTTGGTTGTAGCTCCACTTCCCAGCACAGCACCTGGCACACAGAAGGGGCCCAGTGTGTACGTGTTGATTAAATAATAAAGAAAAGGACTGACCTTGAGGGGTCCTCACTCACCAACCCAGGCCAAAGATTTTTAGCCACACAATTTATATCTTGAGACTCTAGAACAGTATGTTCATAGAACTTTCTGTGACAGTGTAAAGTTCATTGTGGTAGCCACTAGCCTCATGTGGCTCCTGAGCACTTAGAATGTGGCTAGTATCACTGAGGAGCTAGTTTGGATTATTTTAAGCTCGAACAGCCCCATGTTGCTAGTGGCTCCCATACCTGGAATGTGGGAACTGAAAGGGTCTGTAAAGACCCTCTGAAGCCGGGCTTCTACTTTGCTGTGCCCTTGACCTTCTTGGGGATCTTGTGAGTATGTAGGCTCTGATTCAGGAGGTCTAGGGTAGGGGGAGGTTCTGCATTTCTAACCAGCGCCCGGGCAATGCTGATGCTGCGGGCCCACAAGTCCACTGCCTGTCTTCCACATGGCACATGCTTGCTATGCAGTCGAAACCTGGGCTCGGAAAGGCAGGGGCGTGGTGGTGGGTGCCTGTTTGTCCATCCCGCGATCTTCCTTCTTTATGCCCTGCGTTCTCTCCTGCCTTTTCACAGCATCAACCATGACCCCAGCCGCATTCCTGCAGACCTGCCAGAGGCACGGTGCTTGTGTCTGGGCTGCGTGAACCCCTTCACCATGCAGGAGGACCGCAGCATGGTGAGCGTGCCCGTGTTCAGCCAGGTGCCTGTGCGTCGCCGCCTCTGCCCGCTGCCACCACGCACCGGGCCCTGCCGCCAGCGCGCAGTCATGGAGACCATTGCCGTGGGCTGCACCTGCATCTTCTGAGACAGCCCTCCCCGCACCCCCTTGCCGAGTGAGGCGATGAAAAGTAAAGGCTGTCTTTTGTAAAGCAAGACCTTGGGTTTGCTCCTTGTGGCTCTGAAGCCAAAACGGGGTGGGAGGTAGATTTCGATCAATGTGGAGGAAGATTTTCCATCACCCAGAGTTCTTCAACACTGAGATGGGTTATTACAAAAACTGTACATTCATTTTTACCATTTAAGTGTTAGTTGCTCAGTTGTGTCCTACTCTTTACAACCCCATGGACTGTAGCCTGCCAGGCTCCTCCGTCCTTGGAATTCTCCAGGCAAGAATACTAGAGTAGGTTGCCATTCCCTTCTCCAGGGGACTTTTCCGACCCAGGGATTGAACCTGGGTCTCCTACATTGCAGGCAGATTCTTTACCATCTGAGTCACCTAGGAAGTCCTTTCTACCATTTAGGACAGTCAGATACTTTCTTTGCATTTATAAGCCTTTATTTCAGTCACG